TAAGATTCTGCCTTCCAGGGGCTGGGGATCTGGCTCAGTGCAGAGCATTGCAAACACTAATACTTATTAAAATAATAATTATTATGATTATAATCTCCCCCCAAAAACAACATGGGCATGCAGTCAGTCCTTTGAGGCTGGAGTAGTTGGAACCCTACCTTGGTACCCAAAGATTGACACTAAAGGGACTCTCCTGCACCTTTATTCTACACCTGCACACGCACACACACAACCTCTTGCATTCCTGTGCTGTCTTCAGGAAGGAAAGCCCACTGGGCTTGCAGCCCTTGAGTGTACCTTAGTACCATGGACAGCGCCTACATGAGCCAAGCTCCGGTGGGCTACTAACACCCACCTGCATGACCTGAGGCATCCACAGATTTCACACAGTATTTACTGAGCACCAAATGTATACTCCATCCTGACAAGACATTACGGGAAATACCAGCGGGTAAGACATCCACCTCTACCCCTAAGGAACTTACAGTCTGATTGAGAAATTGGTCCCCTTGCCACCCAGATCCCCTCTGGCTTCCAGTAAACCAACCCCCAGGGACAGCACTCACTGAAGCCCCAGATGCCACCCCATTCTCACATGAGTTTTCTGATCCGAGACAATCACGAGAGAGAGTTTTATAAAAAGGGTCAGAGAACTCAGGGGCCATGAATGTGGATGACATGCAGCTGGGCAAACAGGTCACTGAGGAGACCCTGTTAGGAACAGGAGGGACAGGGAGCAGGGTGGAGGGAGGAAGTGGGGCTTGGAGTTCAAAGATCCTCTTCCCTGGAAAGTTTTCATGCCCCACAGGAACCATTTTCTTCTTTTATTATGAAGAATTTAAAATTTACACTTAGAATAGATTAATAATCTCTGGTGTGCCTGTTATTTAGCTTCTACAACTTCAGTTCAAGTCCTATCTTTTGGGGGGGAAGGGAGAGGAGGATTTGAAACACACCAGGGGCTTACTCCTGGCTCTGTGCTCAGGGATTACTCCTCGGGGATGGCGTGGGGAAGAGGTGAGCTTGAAGGGACTCTTTGCAGTGCTGAGGATAAAACCAAGTGCCTTAGCCCTGCACTACCTCTCAAGTCCTAGCTTGTCTCCCTCAATTCTCCCACCCCCTTCTCCCCATATTCCTTTTAAGTCAATCAATCCCAGACAATCTCCCACTTATAAGTAAATATTTCACTAGAGACAGTACAGGAGTTAAGGTGCTTGCCTCTGCAGAGGCCGACAATGGTTTGATCCCTAGCACTGAATATGGTCCCCTGAACCCTGCCAGGAGAAATCCCTGAGCCCAGAGTCAGGATTAAGCACTGAGCATCACTGGGTATGGTCTAAAAAGCAAAACACAACAATAAAGACACATAACTGTTGACCATCATCATGTCTAAGAACATTGACAATCAATGCCTTTGTACCAAATATTCAATATTCAATTTTCTACCTATCTCAAAATTCATTTTCCCCAAAATGTATTGAATCTGAATCAAGTCATTGACTAATGAACATGCTTTTTCTCTTTCTGAAAACATTCCCCTTCCCTTCCCTTTATTGTTACTGTGGTGGCAATCAAGGACCACACCCTTTCCTTTGAGGTGTTCCCCACACATCTGGCTGTAGTGAACACTTCTTCCTTTCTTAAAAAGTTTTAAATTGGAGAACCCCAGTCATTTATCCATTAGAAGTGTCCCCCAATGTGGGTTTTCCCATAGAGACAATGTAGAAAGGGGGTTCATCATTTTCTCTAAGAATCACATGACACGATATCTGCAACTGTGTCTAAGCAACTGGAAAGCACCCCACAAAGGAGTTGTGCAAAGACCCATTTTGCATGTCCATAACTTCTCTTTTGTGGATGACGTAACTGAGGTTCAGAACAGTTGAGTGACATGCTGAGGATCCCAAAGCCCCCTAGCAACAGGGGTAGGGAAAGACAGGGTGGAATCAAAGGACCCCACCATCAGGTGAGCCCCAGGCTGGAATTCCACAGCACCTTGGAAAACTCGAGGACTTTGGATTCCTGCTCTTTGTGACTCAGTTTCCCCATTTTCAAAGTCCAGTCAGGAGTCCGGATGTGCATGAGGTTCAGCTGATACAATGTGAGGACAGCCCATCCCTGGACATGCCCCCAGCTCTTTGGCCATCTGCTCTCTGATCCCAATGCCCCCTCACGTCAGCCTAACCTCTTTCCTCCAAGTCCCATAGCCATGATGAGCCTGGGTCCTCTGTACATCTGCCCCAGCCTACCCACAGGCCCACAGAGACAGGGTGGGCGGTGCACAGCGGCTGAGTACACTCTGTCCTCCGGCAGCTTGGGCAGGCAGCTGTGACCTCTGGGGTGCAGGCAAACAATCAGCTATTCTTCCCGCTTCTCCCTCTGTTGGGCGGCTCATCCCCAAGGCTCCAGGGCCAGAGAGAACAGCACTAAGTCCAGCAGTGTCCATCTGTGTGGCCCAGCACTATGATTTCCAGGCCTGAGCCTGAGTCACACACAGGCTACCCGCAGCTGCCACCGACACTTCCATTTCCACCCCAAGCCCCTGCCTCACAAGCATTGAATAGGCAGCATGCAGGGTCCCACGCATCCTCACAGTAGCAATGAGCAAAGCCAAGGCAAGAATTAGAGCCCACACCTGTTTGGGGGCTCTTGCAGAGCACCTCTGCCAAGCCAGGCACATCCCTGAGCACTGTAAGCATCAGCACCTAGGGTTTCACCATTCCGAAGCTCGGTCATGGCAGAGCTGGGATGTGAAGCGAGGTTTACCTGCCCAGACATCGCTAAGAGGGAGTGAAGCCCAGCCATTGGCTGCCACATGCACCCAGCTTCTCCATGTTTGTTGCTTTTATGATACAAGCACACCTGGTTTTATTGCGTTTTACTTTATTGCACTTCACAGATATTGCACTTTGTACAAGTTGAAGGTTTGTGGCAACCCTGGGTTGAGCAAGTCCATCAGCCCCACTTTCCCAATCGTGGTCAGCAAAGTTTGGGGGGGGGCATCACACCCAGCAGTGCTCAGGGTACCATGCAGTGTTGGGGATCAAACCCAAGGCTCCACAATGCAAAGCATGCTTTCCAGCCCTTTGAGCCCCAGCCCCCACAATTAGCATTTTTTGGCAATAAAGCATTTTATAATTAAGGTGTGCACATTGCTTCTTTAGACATAATGCTATTGCACGCTTAATAGACTACAGCATAGTGTAAATATAACTTTTACATGCACTGGGAAACCAGAATGTCCCTATGACTCACTCTATGGCGATATTTGCTTTATTGCAGGGGCTGGAGCCGAACTCATTATGCCACTGAGGTGCAACCTGGATTATCTCATTGAATCCTCACCACAGCCTCCTCCTATACATTTGCATGGGAGGAAAGTGAGAGGTGGAACAAGATGCCCCAGAACACACAGCCGAGTCCACTGCCCTCTGAGATCACAGGCTTTCTATTCTCCCAAGAAGCTGAGAACAAAATGTGGGTGCACATCACTAGGTTCCGATGAGGTGATGGGGTGTACAGGAGGGATAGGCCATGGGAACACTGAGGACAGTGGGAAAGCTTCCTGGGGCTGAGCCATGTAGGTATCTGGCCTTTGAATTGTGGGAGACTGACTCCTCATGACGGAGCAGACTGTTAGCTGGGGCCCAGGCCTGTCAGAAGAGTTAGTGTCCATTAGAACTCAGTCCTGTAAGAACTTGGTTAGCACTTGGTCGTCCTGTGAGAACTAAGTTAGAATTCTGTTAACCCTGTCAGAACTTGTCTAGAACCCGGTTATCCTGTGAGAGTTTGGTTAGCCCTAAGAGAATTTGGTCATCCTCTGAGAACTTGGTTAGAACATAGTCTTGTTAGAACATGGTCAGCCCTGTGAGAACTTGGTTAGAACATAGTTATCCTGTGAGATCTTGGTCAGCCCTGAAAGAACTTCATTAGAACACAGTTATCCTGTGAGAACTTGGTCAACCCTTTGAGAACTTGGTGAGTGCAGTTGGTCCTCTGTGGATGTGGGAGTGGCACCTTCACAGTCTGTGGCTGGGTGACCAAGACTCTTGGGGGACAAGTTGAGTGCAAGGTCAGGGAGCTGTCTCAGAATGGCCTGGCAGTGAGAAGACAAAAGGTTGGGACAAGAAGAGCACTGGAGCAGGTGACTAAGACACGAGACCCCCTCACCCGAGACCAGTGTTATCATGCTGCCATGAGACTGATTCGTGCAGTTGGACCACGAGTGCCCTGAGTGCTAGGACTGGGAAATGGAGAAGTGTCACATGACACTCATGTCAGGGGGTCATCAGTTTGATCCCCCAGATAGATAACAGGCAACATTGGAGGTCTGGGCTGAAGTGAGGATGGAATTCTCAAGTGACCTGCAATACAGCAGCTGACGAGAGGCCCTGAAGAAGGGATTCTGCACTGGGGCCAGAGGACTGGCCCTCAGGCCCTCCCAGCCATGTAGTGACCCTCCACATCAGTCTGTGACTCTGAGACACAGAACCCATCTCTTCTGGTTCCACTCATCATAGAAGACTCAACAAGCACGGTGCTGATGTTCATGCAGCCGAGGCCAGTCTATCTGGGGGTTGAACTGAACTGTAGGTTAAAAAAAAAAAAATAGAGGCTCTGAGAAGTCAAGTAACTTCCCGAGTCTGAGCTAGAAAATGTCATCTGGGCTTGGAATCAGGCCTGGCTGCCCACAAAGCCCACACCCTGGGCCTGCTTCCAGCAGCTTGTGGTCCCAAGCTTCTGTGGCCGGAAACCAGAGTTCTTCCCCAGGGAGGGGGAAACGGGTGGTGTGCAGGCTCCCCACTTACCCCACAGCTAGCCCTAAGGTTTCCCAAATATTCTCACTAGACGGCTTCTTTGACCACAACAGCTCCCACAAGGGGTTGTGGGTCCATTCTCCTGACTTGGTTCTCAGTTTCCTACCAAAGGGGAAAGTGGCTGAGGCCTCTGGGCTTCCCTCCCCCAGGGACTTCCACGTTCTCACACGCTGACACCGGGCATCATTTCAGCTTTGTTTTATTTCCTCTTATAAATGGGCACAGCACGGGAAAGTGTTAAAAAAAAAAAGGGGGGGGGGAGAACAAAATAAACAAAACCAAAAATCCAAGCAGTTCCTCTGCAAGGCTGGGACAGGTGAGCCCCGCGCAGGGCTTTTGCCTGGTCTCGTTCGCCATCTTTTCCCTCTGCTTTTCCTCATGTAAAGTTTTGGCCATGAACTCAGGGCAGGTATGGTTAATAAACAGGTTATGGGGGGCGGGGGCGGGCGGCCTTGGGGAGGAGGGCCTAGCGGCCACGCAGCCCAGGCCAGGGTCTTGGAGGACTGTACAGGAGAAAGGACGCACAGAGGGACACTCTTCAGGGGGCTCTCTGGAGCCACGCTGCCTACGGAAACTATTTACATGCATTCGCCACACTGGGGCCGGTGGGCGCCTGGGGGTGCTGGAGTCATCCGCCCTCAGAGGGCGACTCCTGGCCCCATCTCGGCATCTCTGCAAATCTGTACAGTATGTGGGCTTCTATTTACAGGCAGGAGGCCGGAGTGGCCAGTCCAGGACTGAGCCTGTCAAGAAATTCAGCGGAGGAGGCTGCAGAGGCCACACCCGGTGCCCAGGGCCCCAGCCCGGAGGCCTAGACAGAGGGAGGTGCCAATCCCCTGGTAAGGGGGTCTGGCCTGTGCACACCAAGCTCAATATGAAGCTACTGCCCACAGACCCGCCCCACCCGTCCTGGGCACCAACCACCCGCCTCCAGCCATCAGGAGGCCCAGCATGAGGTGAGACCCCCTCACTCTGGTCTCCAGAGAGACTGAGCTTGGAGTGGAAAAGTCACGGCTAGGGTCTGGGCCACCGTAAACCACCGTCACTCCATTCTCCTTGGCAGCAAAGGCCCAACAAGGGCTCAGCTGCACAGGTGCCCTTTGTTTTGGAACCAGCCACGTGTTCCAGGAAACGCCAGAGGACTGGAGGACAGATTTCCCCCCCCCCCCGGGGCCCTCCTGGGCCAGACCTGGCGCCCCTCACCACACGCCAGGCAGGGCCAGACCCTGCACCCACATTGCACATTGGGAGCTCCAGCTCCTTGCAGCTGACCTCTCTCCCCCATTCCCAGCCTAAGCAGGGCAGGCAGGAGATTTGGGCTGTCAGGCCCAGTGAGAAGCATGGCAGGACATCTGCCCAGGGCACTACCAAGCTTTTCTCTCAAATGACACAGAGAAAAGACAAAGTGTGGAGCCCCAAACGTGCCCTCAGGATGTCACACCAGAATGCTGCAAGGGAGCCAAATTGGCCCCTTCATCCAGCCTGCCCCAGATGCCTCCCTGCACTGCACAGAGGTGATGCCCACCTCTTGGGTGGGACTGCTCCCCTCCTCACCAGCCCAGACTGCTGGTTCCCTCGGTGCTCCCTGGTTTCTCAGCCTTGGCCGGTCCAGGCCTTCTCTCCAGAGCAACGACCCCCAGAACTGCAGCCCCCCAAGAGCAGAGAGGGACCAAGGGAACTTAGGTCCCCTCTACCCTCAGTGCCCCAGGGAGGACAGGTCAGGCCAGGGGATCCTCACTCCTGCCCCCTGAAGAGCTGGATTCCACCAAGCCTCCTGGCTCTGCTGAGGGGGGCTCTGGGCTCCTGGAGATGGCGCCCCAGCCTGGAAGCAAATAGTGGATGGGCCCGAGACAGCCTGGCACCTTCCTCCAGTGGCCCCGGCGCCACCACCCCTCACCCCGCAGAAGTTTGCTGACAGGGAGTTCTGAAAAGGGAACAGAAATAAAACTGGGTTCCTAATTTCCATCAGGGTGGGGGTGTGAGCACCAGCCAGCCTCTGCTCAGATCATACCCTTGGCCACAAGAGCCCCCACCAAGCTCAACTTCCCCAAAGGAGATTTGGGACCCCTACATGGAAGGTATGGACCAGAAGTGACCTTCATTGCTAGGGGAACATAGCAGGGGGAGTCTGGGGTCCGTGCCAGCTCCTACCCCGTTGAGTCCCACCTTAGCCCTTGGTATGGCCCAGTGTGTCTGGATGGGTGGTTTCAGGTTGAGCTCATCCAGACCACCAGGATATTGGCTAATGAGTGGGCAAGTGTCCAGGGGTAGGGCCCCAGGCAGACCCCTGGGTGGGGTGAGGCCAAGGGGAGAGGGTACGGAGGGCCCGGCGGTGGCAGGGCCCACCCTCACAGGCACTTTGGAGACGTGTGTCCTGGGAGGCAGTCAGGCCCGAGCTCAGAACTGGAGGGGGTTCAGGGAGACCAGGAACCAGATAACGTGTCCTCACCACACCCAGGGCCTTTGCTCCAGGATGCCCACACCCCCTTCACATCTTCATACTCCAGAAACCTTCCCCAGCAAGGCTCCCCTGTTGGTGGGGGGACTGGCCCCGAAGCAAGCCCTTCCCGGACTGCCAAGCAGAGCGTGAGGCCAGGGCTGCTGCCCATGTGCAATGCCCTGGGGAAACTGGTGGTACTGCCCCGTCCACTGTACTTTCTTTCAGAAAAGGCTCCAGTGCCCACCTGTCTTCCAGGTCAGAGCAGAGTAGGTGGGTGAGATTGTGCATCCACGAGGGATTGTGTCACACACCAGGACCAGTGGCAATGCAGTCGCTAAGGGGATTGTGATGAAGATGAAGAGTAACAGGGCAGCTCAGGGGACCCAATATGGGCTGAGTGTTTCAGCTTGATCCCACTCTCCCCAGTAAGCCTGAAGCTGGAGAATGTGGGGCCAGAGGAACAGAAAGGAGACAGGCCACATCATCACCACATGGTGACAATGACCAGTAACTTGCATTGCCATGAGTGCTTGGGGGGGGGGGCAGGGGCTGGCGTGAGAAACGCATGAGAATAAATATCTTTGGAAGAATGTCTGTCTACCATGTCTTGAGTGGCTTGGAAGGACTGTGTATGACGGTGCTGTTGTGGGCTTTTGTCTTTGTGACTTGGGGTGGTGTGAGAGATGGTGTCTCTGTGGGATCCACTCACCAGAGGGAGGGCAGAGCAAGCCAGCTATTCATCATTGGAGGCTGCCTGGGGCAGACTGGGAAAGAGGTGAATGTGTATGAAGACAGGGGAAGAGACCCCACAACTCCGGAGTGGCTGGAACAAAGCAGGCTGGTGACCAGGTGCACCCTCTCAGGACAGAGAGGGGTCCCCTGGGTAGGAGGGAGAGACTGTGGTGCCTTGGTGATTTCAAGGGCTGTTTGTTAAAATGCTTGTCCTAGAAATCAGCCCGAGTGCCTCTCTGCCCCTGAGAGGAGACCTCGGGCAGTCATGTGGGGCCAGGTAGGAGATGAAGCCCCCCTCAAGCCCCACTCCTTCTTCCCCCAGCCAATCAGGTGCTTCCCTCCTCCTGTCCATCAGACACGAGGTCCTGAAGTGCCAGGGTGGTGGGAGACAGAGATGAGCTCGTAAGGTCACAGTCTAGAGCAGGCAGCAGCACCCCTCCCTCCCTCAGGGAACATCTGTGTGAGGCTGGCAGTCCGGACAGATGGTGGGAGGGTGGGCAGAGAAGAAGTGGGCCAGGCTCCCTCTCAGGCCCAGCCCCAGCTGGTGGGACTGCCCTGGGCAGAGGACTGGGCAGAGGGGCAGTGCTGAGACTGCAGGGAGGCACTGAGGCTCCACTAAGCGTAGAACTCCTCCTGCTTGTCAGGCTTCTGGTACGTGACGCTCGCCTGCTTGGGTTCCTCCAGAGTGTAGCTGCCCTCGTCCTTCTTCTTCATGCGGTAGATGAGCAGCGTGACGAGGAAGGCGGCGAACAGGGCACCTACCACCCCGCCCACAATCACAGCTGTGGGGAAGAAAGCAGAGGTCAAGGTACGGGGGACAAGTCCAGAGAAGGGCCCTGGGTGCAGGACAAGGGTGGGGAAGAGGGCTGGGGCTCCCAATCTGAGGCTGGAGTTGGAGTCTTTCCTTTTGCTTTTGCTTTTTTTAAATTCTTTGTTGCATTGGAGTTCAATCAAATACCATCAGCCTCGGCTCTGCTGTGGCCTGGCCCCATCCTCGTTACCTCACGTACAGTCACTTAACCTGAGCATAGTTGCCACAGTTCTCATCAAATGAAGAACGCCAACTGCTGGTAGAAACTCAAGTATTTTCTATAGCATTAAGGAAGAAGGACACTGCCAACTGAGCAATGATACACAGCATCTGGGAGAGCTCACAGATAGGAACAAAGGGCATTGAGCAAGGACGGCAAAAGTGGAGCCCCAGAGGTAAAGCCTGCCTCCCTGAGGCCAAACTGCTCCTAAGCGATAGAAATGCTTGGACCATGAGTCCAGGTGCTCCTCGGGAGATGGGACCAGGGCAGGACCACATAGGCTGGGTTGGGGGTGAGGGCAGGACAAGTCAAACTGGGAACAGAGATTAGGAACTGGATGGAAGGTCCAGTTACAGTGAGTAGAGATCAGGGTCAGAGTCTGAGGAGGGGGGTCAGAGGGCAGGAGGAAGGTGGAGATGAAGTCAAGGTCAGACCAAGGGTGGGAGAAAGTCAAAAGTTAGATGGCAAGTCTAGGGGTCGAGCCCCCATTTTCTCTCCCCAGGCTACCCATGCCAGTGCCTTTCTCCTAAATGCCCAGAGATCCCAGTCACCCCCCCATGGGTCCCCCGACCCCAGTGCTCACCTACAAGCACCTCCTTCCGCTCCAGGATGCTCTTCTGAGGCAGCTGAGCCGCTGAGCTGCCTGAGTCAATCGCATTGTCCAGGAGGCCAGGGCCAGGGCCAGCACCTTTGGGCAGTGTCCCAGTAGGAGGTGACGGCCTGGCGGCTGCTCCACCAACAGCCACCACCTCGTTGGCTGTGTCTGGCTGCGTGGTATCCTCCTCAGGCAGCTCGAAGTCCCCACTGGGGCCCCCGCTCACCGGCACCTCTGGCTCCTCCCGGACTGTGGTGAGGAGAGACTCCGGGGTTGGAGTCTGTGGGGAAAGTGGCATGAGCCCAGGAAATAGTCCCTACCCTGGGGCAGCTACACACACATGTACACACACATGAGCACACACATGCACACACATGCTCACACTCACACATATGCACTCACACACACATAGACAAACACACGAGCACACACTCCCATACACCCACACACATGCATTCACAGTCACGCACACTAACATAGACAAACTTATACGCACACACAGACATGCATAAACATGCCCACAAACATGCACCTGCACACAAACATGCACATGCACACAGACACATATACACACTCACACATGCACACACACAGGTGGCACTGGAAGAAGGAGACTAAAAGCCATGTGACCTAATGCCACTCTGTTTCTAACCCAGACAATGCTGTCTCATCCAGCCGCCTCGTCCCCACCCTATCCCCCTTGCCCTCTGGAAGCCTTGGGGGGGGTTCCTATTGCAGTGATGGGGTGGGGTGGGGGGTGCACTGGGTGCAGCTGTTACACCCTTGGGCCTGGTTTATGTACTTGGGGCAGAGGTGATGCTCTCAGCCTGGAGGCCACTCCAGGGGAGTTCAAGCCAGGGGACAGGCCAGCCCAGTAACCACAGCAGAGGCAGCTGCTTCTCAGGTGCCTGTGGCCAGGTGAGAAGCAGCAGGTGAAGGCCATACCAGCCAGCAGGGCCTGCCGCTGTCTCCACTCCCTAGGGGCCGAGCTCTGCAGGGAAGCCCCAAGGCCCCAAGGACTGAGGCTGGCCCAGAGCAGCGGCAGGGCCCGGTCCTGTGTGAGGCGTCAGCTCCCACTCAGGCAGCATGGCCCAGGCGACATCTCCCATCTCCTCATCCTCTCTGTCCCCACGTCCCCACATCTTCCTCTTCCCTTTAATCACCCCCACCTCGTCCACTCATAATGTCTGTGCCCCTCCCCACGCCCTGGCCTTTGGAGCCGACTGCTGGGTTCCAAGCCCTGTGCGTGTGTGCAGGAGGAGGGGGCGAGGCAGGAGGAGACGCCACCCAGGCAGCGTGCCACTAAATGTGGGCTGCAAGCATTCCTCGGTGAGCCCAACTCTGGACGCCCTCAGACCCATGGTGCCGGATGCAGCAACTACAGGAATGACAATGCCCAGACCAGGATCTGGGGCTCCTTAACTATGGCCCAGCACTATTCTTGGGCTCTTTATTTGGGGCAGGTTTCATTCCCGGCTGCCTGGCTCCTGCATCCCTGCAGCTAGCCAGAACACCCAGGCTCCCGGCCCCTTGCACACCAGCACACCATTCCCTCAAGCCCTAACACACAGCCCCGTCCCCACCAGCGCTCCCCTGTGTGTGACTCACAGCCAGCCGCAACTGCACACCTCAGCGACTTTCTCATTCTCCCGGGTCTGGGTCCCCCAGGGAGCCTCCCCTCGCTCCTGCCCAGCTCCATCACCCTGCCCCACCCACTTCCACCTTCATCCCCATCTCCTCCCACGCTCACCTGCGCCAGTTCTGTGGGTCCAGGGGCTGTGGAGCCCAGGGGCAGCGTGCTCTCCTCAGGGATCACAGGTTCCTGGGTGGTAACTGGCCTGGGAAGGGCCCTGGGCCTGGAGGTAGCTGTGCTGACCAGCCTGGGCGTTGGGGCCTCTGTGTCCAAGAACGCCACGGTGGTGGGCGGTGAGGGTGCCTCTGGGGTGGTGGCCTGGGCCGTGGCTGCTGTGGTCAGCGGAAGAGGCAGGAGCCTCTGAATGCCGGTGGTCCTTATGACGGTGGTGGTAGCCGTGGAAGGGGGAACTTCAGGGAGGCTCGGGGTGGCGGTGGCCACTGTGGCAGGCACCATGGCCACGGTCGGGGCCTCGGGTGTGGTGGCAGCGGGAGTAGCCGTGGGCATGGAGGTGGTGATGGCTCTCGGGCTGGGCTCTTCGGGGACTGCCGTCACTATGGGGGCGCTGGTGGCTGGCTCCGGCGTGGGATGCTCAGAGGTGACCTCTTCAAACGGGATGCCCATGGGCTGGATGTCCATGGTAGGCAGCACAGCAGGAGTGGTGGACACTGCCAGGGCCACGTCTGGGCTGAACCGTATGGCTGTCTCGATGCCCGACTCCTGCTCGAAGTCTGAGGGGGTGGAGAGAGGAGAGAGCTAGGGAGCTGGGTGACTGGACAGGAGGTGCCCAGGCAAAGAAAGGCTGCCACCTCCTCCCTCCCTCTCTCCTAATCTCTATCCTAATCTCTCTCCCTCCTTCCCTTCTTCCTTCCCTCTCTCCTTTCCTCCACCCTTCCTTCACTCCCTCCTATCCCCTCTCCTTCCTTCCCTCCCTCCTACCTCCTTCTCCTCTCCTTCCTTCTCTCCCGCCTCCCTCTCTCCTTCCTTCCCTCCCTCCTCCCTCTCTCCTTCCTTCCCTCCCTCCTCCCTCTCTCCTTCCTTCCCTCCCTCCTACACGCTCTCCTCCCTTCCCTCTCCCATTCCTCCCTCCCACTTACCCTCCCTCCCTTTCCCCCATCCCCACGCAGGAGGACACCCAGGTTTTCATTCTACCACTGAGCCACATCTCCCATTCCACTGTGTACCATTTTTCTAGGACAAGGTGAGGAAAAGATTATTGGTTGGCTGATGGCTGGTACATATTCCCCAGTCATCTCTGTGCAGCCAAATTTTCTTCTAGGGGGCTACCTCTTTCAGGAACTACTCAAAGATGATTCTAGTTTATGCAGCCTGAGTACAGGCAGAGGCAAACAGGACCCTACCAGCAGCAAATCTTGCTGAAGATGGGAGAGGGGCAAAGTGGGTTGCTCCAGCAATCTGAGGGCTCAAAGGCCAACGAGGAGCTGGGGAGGAAAGGATGAGAAAGAAGACACCTGCGCCAGGGGGTGGACTAGGCATTGGGGCTGGGAGGGGCCAGGAAGACCCCCAGAAATGGGGGCCCTCAGGGTGGGGTGTGGGTGGTCAGCTCTATGTCCTGGAGGACCTTACCATCTCATTCTGGCCCCTCCCTGAGCCAGAGTGTGGACTCAGCAGTGTGCCAGACCCCAGCATCTTACCAGTGTGGCATCGAAGGATGGAACTGGACATGCCTCCCTTATCTCCTGACAGGCCACAGGCCATTTCCATCACTGCCCTAACCCTGCCTGGCCAGTGACTGGACAGGGGAAGATCACCTAACTCAAAATGGGCCAATCAAGTGGTTTCTCCTGAGGTCTTTGCCACTGAGTCCAGAAGTAGTTGCTAAGTGCCTCTAAAAATAGGCCTGAGCACTGGGTTACAGAAGGGTGTCTGTGCCCGCCCCCTGCACCCCATGGGATGGGGGTCTATAGGGAGACCCAAGCAGTACATGTAGACACGGAGGGAGGGTGAAAAGGGGAGTGGCAAGTCCCGGGCTCAGTGGTCCTCAGAGCATCTGTTCTCTGTGCTGGGGTCCAGGAGAGTCCAGATCATTGTCTACCCTCCCCCATCCCACTGGCAAAGCAAGTCCATGAGTTTCCTGTCCCTTGCCATCATGTCAGGGTGTAGGTGTGGCATGGACAGCCGGCTGTGGCTGCCAACAGGACACAAGGGGAAGGAGAGGGGCACTTACAGCCCGAGCCGGACCCCGAGTACAGGTCATCCAGCTCGTCATCGGGGAAGGCGTCGTCGTCCCCGGAGCCCTCGAGGTCCACGGGCCTCTCGAAGTTCTCGCTGAGCCAGCGCTGAGTCTGGAGTGGGCAGAGGGGGTACAGGGCTCAGTGCCCACGGCCAGCACCCTGCCCCCGGAAGGACACTGACACAGTGCGGGCCAGTCGCTGAAGGCCTGGCAAGCACGTGGCCATGCAGCACCACCTCCCAGAACACAGTGGTCAGCCGGCAGCCCATCTTCTGACCAAGGCACCGGGTACCCTGGCACCCCCGCCCAGTCGGCACTGCTGGATCAGAGGCAACAGGCTGGCATGAGTCCCAGAGCCTGCATGGCCACAGCACGCACGCAGAGCCGGTTCTGGGCCTGCCTGGGTTAGACTGCACAGAGAGGGTTCCCCCACCCCTCCCCAAGGCACAGATAGGATCCCCTGCTCCTCGAGGCACAGACAGGATTCCCCCCGCCCGCCACTCCCCAAGACAAGCATGTGGGGTTGGAGTGGAACGGGAGGCCAGTAGCCCCCTGCAGAGGAGAGAACTGAGACATGGTGACCCGGGGGACCCAGCGGGCAGGTGATGACATGAGATCCAGGCTCTGCTCGACCCCAAAGTCTCACCTCAAGATCCCAAAGGCAGGGTAATAACAGTCTCAAAACAAAAACATGGCATTGGGGGAGCGTTGGGGTTCTGGGAGAGGAGTTTGATGGGAAAGTAAGGGAGAGAAGACAGAGCAGGTACCAGATTGCTACCCTCCCCCTCAACAGGAGTCTACTCCCTCCTTGCCCTCTCCCCAGGCATCTCAGAGTCAGCGCAGGGCCCAAAAGCCATGTCTGCCCCCAGGGCTCTGCAGCAGGGCAGGGGCGGGGAGCACAGGACACTTCTCCCAGGGCAGAGCCAGGCACAGAAGAACGGGGCCAGAGTCTGAGCGCCCCCTCCCCACTGCAGCCCTTGGTGAAGGCAGCCATTCCTTCAAAGATGGGGCCAGCCCTGCTCCCCGCCTCTGGATCCTGACTGAGCTAGCCTGGTCCCTGAGTTTTCCAAAGGAGCTGGGGGTTCATGCATGTGTCTGGCCGGATGGGACAGCCTTCGGCCTTGTCCAGCTGGAGCAGAGAAAGGCCTCTCAGCAGCGGGGACAGCAGAAGCAAGGGCCAGGTGCAGAAGGTGGGCAGAAGCCAGCACCCCAGACCTGGCCCCGCTCTCCTCAGTCCCTGAGCCCCACCCCCATCCCTTTCTGCCAGGGCTCCCAGCCCCTTTCCTTCGGACTGTTCCTGGGCCAAGAACCCTCTTCCTTCCTGTGCCAGATGATCCCGACTCCCCACCAACGCTCTAAGGAACCCCCTCCTCGGGTGTCCCCTGGCTCAGTCTGGACAGGGTAGTCTGGTGGCTCCTACTCCAACATGGAAAAGAAGGGAAGAAGGAGCAGAATAGGAGGAAAGCTCCAGGGGTCTGATGCAGTCTCTGGGAAGCTGGGATCCCATCGGAGTACCGTGCAGTTCCACATGAAAGGTGGGGAGCAGAGGAGGAGGAGTCGGGGCAGTGGGCTCTCACACCCCTTCCCGAGGGAAGATCCGGCGGTGCTAGCTTCTTGCTTCCGACAGAGACCACCTGCTCTAGCCTGACCCAAGCTGGTCAGGGCAGGGAGCCAGGAGCTCCCCGCCCCCCGCCCCCCGCCCCCCCCACAGTCTCCCAAGTAATGAATTAATCAGTATTTACTTGCTACCAGTGAGTCAGAGAGTGGAACAATTAGTGTAATTGCTCCCGTGACTAATTGCTGGGTCTTCCTCCGGTTTAGACATTCCAAGAGCTCAGAGCAGCTACAGTCCAACTCCCCTCAGCTCCCGTCTCTGCCTCCACTGCCCAGGACTCGGGCTGAGTGGACTGGTGGCTGCCCACAACACAGCCTCAGCTGCTGGGCCTGGGCCGCCCCGCGGGAGACTCTGCTGTGCTCTTAGAGCAAGCCTGGAGCTTTGGCGAGCAGCCCCTGTCCCCAGCACAGAGCAGGCAGGGGATGGGGCGGGGACTGGGTTGCAGGGTGGGGCCAGAGGGGCCCTGAGCAGGAACTACTGGGACCCTAAACCCAGAATAAACTTCACTGTCGCCTGCCATGCCTGGGGCATGTCTGGGGGAGTCTATGAAGTTGGTGGTCCCTGAGGATCAGCAAATTGGGGTGAACTTGAGGGTCCCACTGGGGAGCAATGATTTCTCAGTGCCTAGTGCCACACACCAGTCCCTACAAAGCCCCCCAGAAAAGCCTGCACCAATGCACAAGCCACACCCCCTTACAATGACACCCCTGGAACCACAGGGAAACACAGGCAGACACAGGGAGACACAGGCAGAACCTGACATTCCCGGTTGGCAGCCATGAGGGGCGCTGTGTGCAGCCTTGACTGTGGGTGCAAACAGGCACACTCTCGGGGGTGGGCACGGGGTGGGGGTGTGCTGCAGTCCTGTGAAGTGTCCTGTGAGCCCCGAGACAAGCACGGAGACTCCTGTGAAACCCACATCAGCCTCTATCCAGGTAGGGCTCACCTAGATCTTATTCATCCCAGCTCAGTAGCCATCGGCATGACAACCGTTACCATGACGATCATCTCCTCCAAGCTAAGGACCAGGAGCTCCAGCTCCCCGCAGAGATGGGGAGGGGGGGCAGGAAAGGGAGATGGTGGAAGAAGAGAGGCCAGCAGGGAGGGGGACTGCAGACACACTGGCCCGAGAGGCAGGGAAGACGCAGGGACCAGGGAAGCCAGGGCACAGGGCCTGGGAGGGGTGTGGAGGGAGGGTTGGGTGAGTGAGGAGGGAGCGGAGGCGAGAGCGGAGGAGGGAGAGAATTCTCTCACATCTTAATTTAGCCTCACGAGCCGCAGACAAAGCTGGGGAAGGGGCACCTCAGTGATTTTCCAAAGCTGCACCCGAGAGCACCCTGATTGAGCAGCAGCCCGCACCCGCAGGGGTGTATGTGGGTGTCCAGCATCCCGCAGAGGCCAGGCGCAGCGCACCTCCCACCCCACACTGGGCCAGCAGGAGGACAGTGCTGGGGGCCTAGTGGGGCAAAAGGGGTGCTGCCTTGAGGGGGATGAGGACAGGGAAGCGGGTGGGGACAGAGAGTTCAAGGGAGGGGGGCTGGGAGGAAGCAGGAAAAGCCTCAGAAGTCACCAAGTGCCTGAGGAGGATAGTGACAAACAGCCTTTGACCTCTTCACAACCTCCTATTTGCATAATCCAGGCAAATTAACCCAATTATTCATGCCATTCCCTTAAAGGAGACTGAATCCCATTGCCCCAGGGCTCCAGGGCCACCCACCCCCACCCTCACCCCTCACTGTTCCCCCAGCCCTAAACTTATACCCTTCAATTCTGCTGAACAGTGCACACACACACACACACACACACACACAAATATACACACACACACACAGCAACTAAGAGACAGTGCAACCCAATAACACACCACACCTCTCACACATACCACATACACACCAGACACCTCACACACAAAAACCATACATTCTCACACACATCTAGCACACATGCTTACATATATACCACACACCCACCACATAGCCTCACACACTCACAATACCCAGCACATACCCTCTCATACACGTACATACCAAACACACATTCTCATACATGCTCTCACACATACCCTCACAAATGCACTCATATACACAGCACACACCCTACACACAGATACCCTCATACAATTTCTTACATGGCCTCATAAAGTCACACATACCCTCACATATACACAGCCTCACACACACCCAGCACACACCCTCATACATACCCTCACACACTTCCTCAAACATACCAAGCACACATCCAAAACACCCTCATACATGCTCACACACGCTCCCTCATACACACTCTCTTACATGTCCTCATACACACTCACACACACTCTCACACATACCCTCACATATACACACCCTTACACACACCCTCACATACACGTTACACTCACCCTCAAACACACCCAGCACACACCCAAAACACCCTTATACACACCTGCACACACTTGCTCACACATACCCTCACATGTATCCATCACATCCTCAGACATACCCAGCACACACCCTCACACACACCACATACATACAACATCCTCACACACATCCAGCACACACCCTCACACGCACCACATACACACAACATCCTCACACACACATAGCACACACCCTCACACACACCTCACATATGTTCACTCACACCAGCACATACCCACACACCCTCACACGTTCCCTCACACATATCCAGAACATATTCTCACATACACCCTCACACATATTCTCACACACCCCTCACACATACCCTCACACACACCCTCAGACACAACCCATGACCATACCTTCACACACCCAGCACACACCCTAACCATAGCCTGACACACATCACACACCCCCTCACATACACTCAGCACACACCCTCACACACTTTCACAACCCAGCATACACCCTCACACACACCTCACTTTCACACAACTAGCATATACCCTCTCACACACCTCTCATGCACACACTCCACACACACTCTATTCTCACACAGCAGCATGCATCAATATCTGCCCTGACTGTGTCCCCTCAGCTCAGAGCCAAAATGTGAGCCTGACCATGACACCACACACTCAGGATTTTCTTCTACCCCAAGTTGTACACACACACACACACACACACACACACACACACCCCTGAGCCACCCCCAGACACATAACAGCACCCCTCTGCTCCCCAAACACACTCACAGAGGCCCCTGCACTCAGCAGACCCTCATCACCAGGTGGCCATGGCACAGGGCAGCACACCCCACTGAGGACGTCTCTGACCGCCTCGTACACCTACAGTCGGAACAGACCCCAACAGGCTCCCCATCTGCGAGTGGAGTCTGAGCTCCCCAGGAGCCACCAGAGACCTGGGCTGTTGCTGATTCCTCCCTGAGTGGACCCCTTGGGTTTGCTCCCCATTTCACATATGCATACACTGAGGCTGGGAAAACCATGTCCTTGGCTTCTGGAACCCTGGCCCTAATATCCTAGACCTACTCACAACTCATGTGTGACTCTCAGTCTCTGTCACTTCCTGCAC